TTCTTGCACATGCAAGGAAGTACAATCTGAAGAAAAACTACCCTGATTTTCTGTCACTTTATCGATTATAGTCACAGCAGAAACAGGTACAGATGATTGGAATTGAGAATTGGAATTCAAGTATATAGAGTCTGCTGTCTCATAGTGCATAATATTCCCCCCAACTTTGTCAAAATTTTTGTAAGTTTCCCATGAAAGTAAGAACCATTTAATTGTACTAGGTTGAAATCTTAATTCTATAGGGTCAATAGAAACATCCACATCCACTTTGCGAATGTCCAAGGAACCATTCTTCCAAGGAATGCTTAGCATCAAATTCCCTGAAAATCCACCTCTTTTCCCTGACATGATTGGAGTAGTAGTATTTGAAGGCAAGCAATCTGAAAACAATCCAGAAAAAGTCATTCCTGACATGCGTGGAGAGCAAGATTGATTGTCAACATCCTCCATATGAAGGATCTCGAGTACAGCTCCTTGGAATTTAACAAAGTTCATAAGTTGACTAATTCCAAGAAAACTTTGTGCTCTAGCTTCATAAGCTAAACCAGCATCCTCTGAAACACAAGTCCCGCATTCTGTTTCTGATATCCGGAGCACCAAAGCCCCATGGCAGCCCACTTTTTCATCCTTCTCTAGTGATGGATCAAATGCAACAATTAGCTTTTTAATCTTTACATTAAAACTGGTAAGAAACCATTTTACCATCTTTGCAATAGTCTTTACACCTTCATGGACATCATCAGACTTCCCAGCACTTCCTGCCATGTCATTCGAAAATTTCCCCAAGTCGTTCTGCATATAGTGGTTACCATCATCACTAGAACTACAATTTTCATCTGCAGTTGAAAAATGATTCTTCGAACAAGGAGCAAGCAATAGCTCAAGTTCATCAACCTCAACTTGACATCCTTTACCTTTCCAAGGCATTTTAACTAACAAAGAGCCTATAGACCCCTCTTTTATAACCAAAGATGCTGCTGGACCAAACTGAAAAATCACACACAAAAGGAGCAATATAACCATGAGAGAACAGATTGAATAATCTAAATGTAAAAGAAAAAAAAGAGAGTATTGCCCTTAGTTGCCCTCTACGTTCTGCTAATATCCTTACCAGAACCCTGGTTACGAAAAGGCATACCGGAAACCTAGAGTCTCGTGTGGCAATAAATACCACTTGAACCCTGCTCTAACAATATTGCTACTCTTATCTAAAAGAAGTACATGGAGTACTTGGTTCCACTGATCTTCATTTTGGATTTTTTCCGTTCCACAGATAGATGTGATGCCTGTATCCTATACTCATATAAACACTAGCTTGAATTCTAACGAAGTACATGCTCTTAGGAAAGTTCAAAGCAAACAAACATTGAATTTACTTAATTAACATAAGACAATTGTATATATTCTTCTTCTTCTTCTTTTTTACCGTCAAATAAAAAGTTCACAGAATTTGAAGACTTAATCATAATTAAGCAGACTTCTTATTCAGCTTCATGAAAACGTAAATTTAAAATTGAACCCCAAAAAAAAAAAAAGCCACAACAAAAAGCGGCGTACCTTCTGGTTAAGATAATCGACGTTAAGGGCGAGATCAGAGAGCTGGATGGTGCCTTCAGTAAGCTGAACATCAAGCTGGTCCAAATCAATATCCCCCAAAATAAATTGCCCAAGCTTCTTCTTCAACAAGAATTTAAACACCCTCTTCACCGCCCACCGAGAAAACACCGCCTCAGCCGATTTCGCTATATTATTCCACGCGCCAAACATCTTGTCCCTTCTCAAATTCGCCGCCGTTCCAATCCAAACTCGCAGCGAATTGGAGAAGGCGAGAAAGGTCCTTTTTTTCTTTTGCTCCGGTTTTGGAGTTCACGGTGACACTAGGGTTTTGAAAGGGTAAGTTCTGTGCTCGTGATGGAAGATTGCGACTTCCATCAAGAGCGCGAAACGATGAGGGAGAGAGAGCGAATGAGGATTTTGTGATGAGAGAGAGAGAAAAAAATAAAGGATTTATTTCGAAGGGGGAGTGGATTGATTTTGATGAAATTGAATGACCTTTTGTTCAAAGTTTTCGGATGTTTGGAATCAGAGACGAACTTGTCCCTTATGTACGCTACAAATATTTACCTGTTATTTTTTGGTCTACTATAAGTGACCACCTTCTTGGGTTTCATTAACGGTTACGTCTTTAATTTTGGAACCACCATTGAGTTTATCAAACCATTTCTTTTCTTTCTAAAACTCCTCTTAAAAAATTGGATTTAATAGTATAAGCCAGTACGTCTTTACTGTTGAGATTTCGTCTCTAATAACATGTCACATAAAAATTAATATTTATACAAATAATATATATATATATATATATATATTCTCTTAACGCTATATTTGGAAATGGTGCAGATCATTTCAATGGTGAGATTTAGCCAAAAATAGTAATTTTTTAACGATATTGGTAAAGACGTCGTTTTACTTGTCGTTTTATTTTGACAGCTTGCATCATTTCAAATTTATTGGACTATACCGATCTACTTAGTTACCAAGTCATTGGAACCAAAAGTCTTATCTCTCCTTTATCTTAATTGACATAGGATCGAAGCTTTGGCAGCCAATTATTCAGCGACGATAAAAGAAAACGTCCTTTCAAGTTAAATACAGGCATCTTTTCCCCCTTTCTAACTTTGCTTTTAAAGCAAGGATTCCTTGAACCGTGAAAACGGCGATTCCTTGAAACAAAAGACTGACGCTGTGTCACGACATGCGACTAATTAAGAAACACAAACCTCAATATTATATTATTATCCCAGGTTCTGAATTCCAGCACGTGATTGCAAAAAATGTCTTGACACTCCAAAATATTTCCTTACATGAATTTTAATTTTTTTTTCTTCTTTCTCAATTTTGTGAAAGTTAGTTTAAATTTGAAGAGTTTTAATCATGACATTATACTTTTAAAAATTTATTTTTTATTTTATTTAATTAAAATTTTATATTTTATTTTGTATAATATATATTATAATTAAAAAATAATTAATAATTATTAATCAAAATATTATTTATCATTTTATATATATATATTATACTAATGTTAAGAAGAAAAAAATTTACGTAATTAATTATAATTTATTTTAAAGTTTTTTATATATTATGTCTTTCAATTATTTGCATGTATTTTTTATAGAATGACAAATATATTTTTTTATAATTAGAATAAATGAATTCGATTACTATTCTTTAAACAAAAAATCATATATCAATTAATAAATTAAATATTCAAGTGTAGAATGATAAATATTTTTAATATTTCATTGTTTTGTTTTAAACTTATTAATTAAAGTATTATACAGATAAAATTTAAACAAAGCATTCGGGGATGCGAATTTCACATCATTTAAAATTGTGACATATTGTCGGTAAGAGTTAAAGATCAATGATGTCACAAGTGATGATTAATTATTATTTTTATACTTTGTAAACGGTCCATGAATGTGATGGTGGTGTAAATAATTTCAATCGTTGACACTAATCGCATTTAATCCTCACTTAATCGGTTTCATTGAAGACATATGAAGAATGGTGAGTGTCTAGCTGCGGTCCCAAATTAGCATTCCTCAATGCTCTTTTGTTTATGGATTTGAATTTATTAGCATTAAAGATGAATTATAGTATTTGAAATTCAATAAAATTGTATTAACCTCTAAAAACAATCATAGGCCAAAGTGTCGGACATCCAAGCTGGGCGGGCCTGTCTCAGGAGGAATGATATGTCGTGACGGACCAATAGTTAGATTCTGCAATCCAGCCTGGGAAAACGCACATCAAAAAAGATTTAAAAATGTAAAACGACAAGCTACCGATTGCAAGGCATGGTCTGACACTTGCCAAAGAGAACGAATAACACGTGGGTCTATCCTGATGTAATCATAACCTCCCACGGAAAAAGTTTTAGTTATCTTTAAATAATAATGTTTTAAAAATAAAAAATAGAATTATTAGCAGATAAATTAAAAATTAAAATATATTTATTTTATTATTATTTTAAAATTATTAAAATATAAATATTACTTTTTATTACACTGTTTGTGATATGGTTTTTATTTATAGTTTTGCATATTTATGACAAGATTTTAAAAATAATTTAATTTTATAGTATATTTTATTAATTTATGTTAAATTATAATGAGGTTATACTTATTGTAACGTTTAAAAATATTATAATTCTTTTTAAATATTTAGATATTTTAAACTTATTTGATACTAAATTTTACATATTTTCTCTTTATTTTCATAAATTTATATTAAAATTTAAAAATATTATATTTTTAACATTAATTTTTTTATTTAATTATGTGAAATTTTTTTTGTGTAAAAATTTTTAGTAGCTAGAATGAGAGATAGACATTACTTTAAAGTTGTTTTGAAAAAAAATAATTTTTTTTATTTTATGATAAGTAAATGACTTTTTACTTTTACTTTTATATATTTGTGTTAAGTTTTGATGAAATAAATTTTTATTTTATCATTCAAATTACTTATTTAATAAAGTAATTTTTATTATTATATTTTATTGCATTTAAAATCATTATAATTTATTTGATTACTACATTTTTTACACATTTTATTTAAGATGATATGTAATTTTATTCTTATCTTCAAGGGTTTATATTATAATCTTAATAATTTTTAAATATTAACATTTTATTTAATTATGTAAAATTGTATTTTTCAAGCAAAAATGTATAATATTTAGTTTAAAAAATACAAATTATTGTAAAATTATTTTAAAAAAGCTAAAAAAGAAGAGAAGGAATTTTAATTTAATATTAATTAAAAAACAACCTATTGACTTATATTTATTTGCAAATTAAATATTAATCTCTAATGATTGATTTTAATCACTTTAGAAATAAGGTCAAAGTGACCGTAAGGTGGAAGTCACCAATCATAACACATGGCAATCACGCGCGGAGAAAGGCGATTAGGCAAATCTTTCGGTTCGTCCGGATAATTACATAACATTTTCGACAAAATCCAAGATGCGAAGACAAGAAGGCCGGCGTTTCCTCGTGTTGTGCGTTTTGGGGAATGGTAATGATATTTGCTTTCATAGCCGATGCCTCCGAGAACAGTAACCACAAGATAGAGTAAATTTCTACCTCCAACTAAGTACCAAAATCCAATCCTAGTACTGACAATTAGGGAAGGACTATTTCTTTCGAATAAATCAACGAACCCCTGAATCACAGAGAACAAAAAAAAAATGGAGCTTAAACCTGGCTTATCAGCTCTGGTCACTGGTGGTGCTTCCGGGATTGGTAAACTTTCCAAAGCTTTCCTTTCTTTTATCATATTGTTATCCAGGATTGGTTATTTCAGTTTAGCTGGAGTATTAATTTCACTGTCTTCGATGGAAAATAACTTCCAAGAATTCATCAGTTGATCGGTGTGATTTAGTGTAGTAGCTTTTGAATTGCTTACGCTTGAGATTGTGAAGCAGATGAATTAATTTGAATTTGTGTTGAATTATGTGCAGGTAAAGCCTTGAGCTTAGCTTTGGCAGGGAAAGGAATATTCGTGACAGTTGTGGATTTCTCCGAAGAGAGAGGAAAGGAAGTTGCATCTCTGGTTGAGAAAGAGAATTCCAAATTCCACAGAAACTTAGGGTTTCCATCTGCTATTTTTGTGAAATGCGACGTTACTAACACTAGTAAGTTCCATTGGATATCCGTTTTCTCAACTGCTAAGAGGCTTGGTTGTTTCAGATAATTGCAATACTATTTTTTATAAGTTTTTGCTTCTTATTTGAATAGGAGATATAACTCTTGCATTTGAGAAGCATTTGGCTACGTATGGAGGATTGGATATTTGTATTAACAGCGCCGGCATCAGTAATCCAGTACCATTCCGGAAGGATGAAACTGATGGCACTAAGACATGGAGACATACAATTAATGTCAACCTCATTGCCGTTGTTGATTGTACACGCCTTGCGGTAATGCTTCAACTCGGACTTTCTGGAAGTTTCCTTGATAGCAGTCCTAGGGGCAGCAATGGATAATAGTCTTGAGTTTTTGAACAGATTAAAACTATGCAAGCTTTGCAAAAGCCAGGGGTGATAATCAATCTGGGATCCTCTGCAGGTCTTTATCCCATGTACATGGACCCTATCTACTCTGGCTCAAAAGGTTTGTGGGTTCATTTTGCCTCAATTTGACTGTTTTCAGTGATCTTTTAAGTTAGCTTATAATCTTTCTTCTGCATCGTTATACACACATAAATCCACACATCTTTTAATTTTTAAATAATGCATTAATAAGGATATTGGTTAGGAATTATCACCAAGTCATATTTTCTCATACTATTTGCTGAGATAATGAGATTATTGCCATGAAAGGGCAAATGGATAAATTATGAATGGGTTGGTATGGATAAAGATCTAAGCAAAAGAGATCTATCTACATAATTCTTGCATGTAACACATTTATGTAATTTGATCGTTTGCTTAAAACATCTGTTTCTCCAGGTGGTGTTGTCATGTTTACTAGATCACTAGCTCCTTACAAACGTCAAGGAATACGTGTCAATGTTCTTTGCCCTGAGGTAAAACTCTAGTTTTAAGAATTCTGGACGTTCTCAATTAGCACAGCCTCCTTGAAATGTCATAAAAGTAATCAGTGATTTGTTTTTACTAGTGTATATTATTTTTTTGGTAGGAGAGAGGGGGGTTCTTTCGGGATTGGAGGATGTTATTATGTCTACAAACTATTTCTATTATATAACTTGCCTTTGAATTTGGATGTAGTTTGTTCAAACAGACATGGGAGAAAAAGTGGGCCACAGATATATTTCTCTAATGGGAGGCTTTGTGCCAATGGAAATGGTGGTGAAAGGTATCTTTTATGGAATAGTCTCTGTTCAGTGAAATCTTATTTGGGGCAATGAGCGTCAGGAAATTCTTATTTTGTGTTCCAGATTAAGAATTTTTTCAAGTCGTTTCTTCTTCCTTATTTATGCAATGATAAGTATAAAAGCAAGATGCTTTAATTAATTGAAAACATAATAACGCATTCCCCCTTGGGTTTATCAGTGCATTTATTTGAGACCCAATCAAAGATGAGCTCTATCTGATCGAAAGAAAGACTATGGGTTAGGTCCCACTTGCTTGTCATTTTCTTTTTCAGAGGCTTGTCGTTGACAAACTTTCAGTTATATAAACGATGAAATTAAAACCAAGTCTTTGCATGTCAGATCGCTTCTTGTTCCTCAAAAGTTTTCTTCTACTTCCTCTACTTCTGAAAAACTTAATTTCCTATTTTCTAAGCACCTTTGCTTTTCTAGGTGCTTTGGAGCTTATCATGGATGAGAGCAGAGCTGGTTCTTGCCTATGGATTACAAATCGCAGAAGCATGGAGTATTGGCCCACTCCAACAGAAGAAGCAAAATACTTGTTGCGTTCTTCCGCAAGTTCCAGGAAAAAAATCTCATTACGAGCTCCTTTAAGCACCCAACTTCCTCCGAGTTTTGAGAAAGTGTAAGTTAAATGTCATATGGCTTCAGTTTTGAGTTATTTAAGTACAATTCTTGGGTTGGCCAGCGTAAAACCCTAGATTTGGTTCTTGCATGGTTGCAGAAAGGTATAATTTTGAGATAACATGTAAGAATCTAGAGGTTTTTATTTAGTAGACATTTTTGAACTTGATTACTTTTATTATTGGCGTAGGTTGAATGTCAAGATCTGCTTCAATTGAGACAGCTACCAAGGCCTTCCATTTTTAAGTAACCCATTTGTCTTTAGAAATTGTGAACTCCTCAAATTACTGAAGATGAAGTTTATTCTGAAACATTCGTGTAAAAGAAAATCCTAAAAACACCTTTCCTTCTATTGCCCTACATGTCATTGGCAGCAAACTATAGCAACTGCCTCCAGTTCATCCTGAAATCTGATACCTCCTCATTCTGGATGTCTACACTAATCTAATAGCAAAGTCTGCAAAAAAGAAAAAAGATAGAAAAAGAATCAGGAAGAACAAGATATGGGGGTAGGTGAAGTGTAATAAATCTTGAATAAAAATAGATGGGTAGGTGAAATGTAATAAATCTTGAAAGATAGGTCTGTGGAATATAGAAAATATAGACAGGGTGAACTGCTAAATTTACCTTGGCAGGCTGAATATTGAGGGGCATTTATGATGAAAGCTTATCTACTGTCAAGTGTCAACTGCTTTTACAGCATTTAACTAATATACATTACTTTTTTCATCATTTTCCCTACTATTTAAAATTTCCACATCTGCTTATTAATTTCAAACTTATGTCCTTGGCCTTGGTGAATTAACTAATAGTACATTACGTTTTTTTATCATTATTTGTCCTACTGTTTAAGATTTCCTCATCTGATCATTAATCTCAAACTCTTAACTCACAGAAGTAAGCTAACATAAATATTTTCCGGTCAACTTTCTTTTCTATTAATTACCAGTAATCCTTGTAAAAAATAGGATGTGTCTGTTGGTTTCTTACAGCTACTTACCGGTGCCTTTTTTCTCTTCTTCTTCAGAGTTGTGCATACTTTGAGTCACCATTTTCGTGATGCTACTCATATAGTACGTGTTCCATTGAAACTACCTATTGAATCGGATCATGTTCTTCTGAAAATCATTTATGCTGGTGTGAACGCAAGTGATGTAAGCTTTTTAGTATCCTTTAAATGATTAATTTAATTTTGCCTTTTCCTTTATTTTCCCCTTTTTTTAATTAAATGTTTGTGTGCACTCATTGTTTCTAATTTATTGGGAGATGTGTAAGATTCTTGTTTAAGAAATGAAGCTATATGTAAGAAGGTAGAGATGACACCAATTGACTAAATATTGAAAGCACGGCTTAGATGGCAATGACTAGGACATGCGCAACAAAGGATGGGAGAATCACCTTTAAGTGAGTGATTTAATAGAGGTGAAATGTCTAGAGGCTTGGAGGATAACCCAAAATCATGTAGATTGATGTTGTAAGGAGTGATTTGGCATCTTAACATGTTCTTGAGAGTATAGCCTTGCATTGTGTGGATTAAAGAAAAGGGTTAACTGAGTTTAAGAATGTAGGATATATATTTGGAGAGAGCACAGTGGGTGGAGACTTTGAAAAGAAAACGAAAGAGAAGAGATGGATGAAAGAAAGGAATTCCTTCTTAATTTTGGGGTACTTTCAAGCCAAGGGGAGAAAACAGATCACTTGGATCTAGTGGCTGTGGGTTCTTTGCCTCTGAAGGATCAAAGCTTGGGAAAGTAAGAAGGGGAAATGGTTAGCAAACCGCTTATTTATCCTCATTTACTATTAAATAACAAAAACAATTCTGTTTATCTTTCTTTTCCTACAAAGACAGTGAGGGTATGGGTGAGGTATGAAAGAGAACAAGTCTCATGATTTTCTTCTTCTTTCTTCATTAAGCTTACTGTTCGTTAGTAAATATTACTATGCTGAGTATTTCTGCCTTTGTTCAAATAAATTTGTCAGTTACTGCTCTTTGATGTATAATTATGTACTATCTACTTACATGTATATACTTGAATGACATGTTACACACAGGTGAACTTTAGCTCAGGTCGTTATTTTCAAGGCAGCAATAAAGACCTTAGTACCCTTCTTCCATTCGATGCCGGATTTGAGGTGCGGGAAAAATATTAACTTAAAATGCTAACTTTGGTAATATAGTTCAATTATGCTGATATCATATGGTTCATTCGTTGTAAAATCATCACTGCATGTGATAGCTAGTTGACTTCATGTTATTTTGTTGTTCTAGGCAGTGGGAATAATTGCTGCAGTTGGAGATTCTGTAAGTGATTTGAAAGTCGGAACTCCTGCTGCAGTCATGACTTTTGGAGGTTATGCTGAATTCATAATGGTATAATATTCATTTTTGTTTGTTTATTATTTTTATGAAGAACTTATTTCAATATTTTTTTTCATACCTTTTTCTACTTAATCATGAACCTACTAAAATTAATTGTTTAGTTAATAAATATTATTGGATATTGAACAAAACATAGGTCCCTTCAAGGCACATACTTCCCATTGGTAGACCTGACCCTGAAGTTATTGCTATGCTTACTTCAGGATTAACAGCATCAATTGCGTTGGACAAGGTACCTCATTGTTCTAATTTTTCTTATTTAGAAGCAAAGTTTCCCATTCTCCCAACCCCCTTATCATTCATGAACTCCTTTTTCCCTCGTCACGTGTCTGTATGTGTCTGAGTTCTGCTCCCTTGTAAGATTTTGTGGCCATATTCTCTTCTTTGTTCATTTTTTTCTAACTCTACATTGTAGCCCTCTGTTGTTTTCTTTTCTCTGAAACCTTTTCTATCTCCTTTTCTTTGACCTTATAGGCTGGTCAGATGGAATCCAGAAAAGTTGTCCTCGTAACAGCTGCTGCTGGAGGGACTGGACAATTTGCAGTCCAGGTTCGTATAATAATGAGAAGATATTTCTCATTACTTGAATTTGTATAAGCTGTATCTGACAGTTGCCAACTTTAATCTGGACTAAACATTATCAATTCATTTTTTTCCCTATTGTTTGTTTGAATAAAGAGTGGCTTTTTTATTTTATTATTATCTTATTGTACTTTCATGCTTATCTTAGTTTTCTACATATTGAATTATTATATTTCATTCATTTGCTAAAACATCAAACACATATTTTATATGACCATCATAATTCCTTCCTCTATGGCAAATGTAGTTCTGTACTTGTTCAGTTTAGTGTTATCTTATGATTGTATTTTCAACATAATATTGCCTTTTATTTCCTTGATATATCATTTCTGTAAGCTCCTAACCCCACCTTTTTTGGGCAGTAAGCAAAAATGTTAATCATAAATACATATGCAGCTTGCAAAACTGGCAGGAAATAAAGTTGTTGCCACTTGCGGAGGGAAAGAAAAGGCAAGGCTTTTGAAAGAATTGGGTGTTGATCGAGTCATAGACTATAAAATTGAAGATATCAAAACTGTACGTATCTGAAATTCTTATTTTAAAATTTTCTTCTTTTTTCACCATTCTACCTTTTTCTTTTCTTATTTCGTTTTTTGGGGCAGGGGTATTCAGGTTAGGAAGATGAAGTTAACTTCATTGGTTTCATTCAAAGAAATATTTTAGTGAATAAAATTTGATTACATGAGTGCAACTGTTTTAACTCGATCACTTGGATTTTAAGATTTTTTAACATTTAAGTACTGTTGTATCTCATTGTCTCTGTATGATATAATTGAAGTCATTTGAACTCTCAATTAAGAGGGATTGTTGTCTACTTTGCTGGTTTTCCAATGGTTGCATCCTTTAATCATCATCCATGGCCTGGCTTCTGAGATTGATCTCAACACCTTTTCTGTGATCTTACTAAGATCTTGGGTGCTATCCTTCAATCATCATCCATGCCCCGACTTTTGAGATTGATCTCAACACGGAAGGAACATCTATGACTTTGTAGTTTTCCAGGTTCTCAAGAAGGAGTTTCCTAAAGGGGTCGACATCGTCTACGAATCTGTTGGTGGGGACATGTTTGATTTATGCTTGAATGCTTTGGCTATCCATGGACGACTCATTGTGATAGGAATGATATCTCAGGTTGTTTTTCTATAATGAGCTAACAATTTTTAAAGAACTTTTGACACATAGCTTTTAGTTTTTAACGTATTTGATATTGAGTTTGCATGTTATCTCTTTAGCTCATATTTGATTTTTTTTTTGGTAATTTTAAAGATGGATATTTGTTAAAAAATACATTAAATTTGCATGAATTTGGAGTGCAGATTTATTTGTTTCACTGCTGCACTCTATGGATATATTAGTTGTGTTTGTGAGAACAAACTATGCATTCCCAATCTTACATAAAATATATATTTTTTTTGATAGGCGCAATCTTACATAATATTCTTACTACTGAATTGTTAATTTACCCCAATACAATCTAGTTAATCTTCATGTATGCAACTTTTATAGCTTCTGATGTTTTTCTTGGGGCCTGATGTTATATTTCTTATTTAGTTCTATCAAACTAATTCTTTTTTATATAGTATCAAGGGGAGCATGGATGGAAGCCGTCAAATTATCCTGGACTTGTTGAGAAGCTTTTGTCTAAAAGCCAAACTGTGGTATGTAATTGCTAAATGAACTTTTAAGCTGTTTAGAAGTTGTCCTTTGATTATGATTCCTTTACACAAGAAAAAGGGTCTTGTAATAATGACCCACTAACTTCTGAGAGTATAAAAATCCCAACATGGGTTAGCGAAATAGACTTAGAAAAATTTATCGAGCAATATTCTTTTCTTCGTTTTCTGGTGATCGAAGCAACGAAGACAGTGGCTCATATTGTCTTCTTTGAACCTTATTCCTTTTCAGGGTAGGGTTGTGGGGTAGTGGGCTGGGGAGAAGCACATGGCATTGAAAATCTTGTGGTTTGATTGTTTTGACAATGCTTTTGTTTTCAGGCCGGCTTTTTCCTGGTTCAATATAACCATTTATGGAAAGAACACCTGGATAGACTATTTCAACTTTACTCTTCGGGAAAGCTTAAGGTAATATATATCATGTTTTATGTTTGATATACTTCTCCCTCAATAATATGAATTACAGTCTAAATTTCAATCTATTTAGGATGCATAAGATCAATTTAAATGATCAGTTCTCTGCGCATTATTTAGTCATATTTTTTTTTTCTTTGATACCATTTGAATTGATTGCTTGCAGTGATTTGAATTCCTTACATGCGCTTAATTCAATTGTAATAGGTTGCAATAGACCCGAAAAGATTTTTGGGCTTGCGTTCTGTTGCAGATGCTGTTGAATATCTCCATTCGGGTAAAAGTGCTGGCAAGGTCAGTATTTGCTTGTTTATTCAATTGATCCTTGTTAAAATGAGCATTCAGGCAAACCATCTAGGCCCCTAACGTGTTTATGTAACTATAAACTCCTAACAGGTGGTTGTTTGCATCGATCCGACTTTTGAACAGCAAATGGCTAAGTTATGATGTGACGATGTTGAAAAAAACATCCTTCTGGGTGAAGCCTCTCCCAATTCTTCAAATAAGTATACACGTGAGAAGAGATTGAGCTGTATTACACTCTTTGCATCTCATACCAAAATACACACATTCTGTTGGAAATGTAGCTGGATTGTGTTCCAATAAAATGAATGGAGGATTATAATAAGAGGCCTATAGAAAGGGCAAAAAGTTGGTTTATCCTTTCTTTGTATTGTATGGATATCAGACAAATTTTATGGATAATCATGCATCGAACATATCACTGTTAAATCTCAGTCCGTTCATATTTTAATTAATGTCAAACTCAGCCATTCAAAAATAATGTGTGAAATCAAGCAAATAATCGGACCTAAACCCAATATTTTTCCAATCCTTAATTAGGTTTGTGCAAAACGCATACTGGTCATCAGCTAATGACAATCATTTTCCCACCTTTTCTGGGTTAGTAATCTCTGAGTAACTACCTTACGTTTGATCACTTTAAAGATCCAAAAGGCCTCAAGAAGCTGGCGAATTTCCTTGCAAGTCATCAGCTGAATGTTTGTGTGCTTTCAAACTTTATGTTATAAGTTCTGCCCCCATCGCATCTCTGCAGCGATACATGGGGTGTCGGCTGTAAAATGTCTTTTACTTCCCTGCAAAAACCAGTTAAAATTCAGAGTGCCAACATTTAAATATCAAATTATTAAAATGCAAAAAGGATATTTCCGACATTTTCCCAAACAGTTAGCTATATCTCGTCTTTTAGTAATAGGGTTCAGATTCCCAACCTAATCGTTCCAAAAAATTAAAAGAAAAAATCTGGGATTTGAAAGATACTGTAAGCTTGGTTGAATTGACTTATCAAATCTCTTTTGTACTGACGAGCTTGGTGGAAAAGCAAAGTCCTGAACATGCTGTACAAATTGAAGGTTTAGGAGGAGCAGAAAGTAGTTACTTGCTCGGATTCGTTTTGCACTTCTGTCCAAAACTTGGACGTCTGGCTCCTTGTCATCTTCTTCTCCAGGTTCACCATCTTCATTGTCTTCTGACTCGTACGCCCTGATAATATACACCTAAGGAAAAAAAGTGGTTGACATAACTTATAAAAGAGCAAACATCCATCGAGATAAAAGCTCAAGACCATTTATTTCATTTGTCAAGCTTAATATACAAGAAAGTAGCCACATATAAGGTGCTCCTACAAGAGCTAAAATGAATGAGGCGAAAAATTCAAGTTTGAGTTTGTTGGTCACCTTAAATTCTGTAGGGGTGACAAGCTGGAATACTAAAGCGTCCCCATCAACCAGATTGTGATCAAGTGAAAACCCTCTCCATCCACCGCTAAGACCCGTTTTTTCAGCAAGGTATTTGGTTGGAAACTCCTCTCCTTTCTCATCCACCAAAGTAATCATTTCGTCTTGATCAGGCAAGTGCTTCTTGCAAAATTGGACTGGCAGACCCTGTTGAACATGTCACAAACAACATCTCATCACCATGGCAAGCCAAATTAATACCATTTCATTTTCCAATTAGAACATAGCAATCAAAATACATGTAATGATATTTTTTAGTAGGGAGGACAACAAAAATCGAAAGAATCAAATGGATAGTGAGCAGTCATCTTACTAGCCAAAATCCCCCAGTTACATGTGATTGGAGCATGGGCTTCACAAAACTTGGATAATCAGATTCTAAAGTAGATTGAAGATGTTCTGCTCTTTCAATTGCATAGGCTCTTTCTTCATCTGAAGCATAAACTCGATCCCACAGGTTTCTCCGCGAGTGGCCCCTGCAAGTAAACTCTAACTATGAAGTGTAAAACAGGGCCAACCTTAGAAGCTTAACGACTGGCCAAACGCACGCACAACAACAAAAAAGGAATATTGAGTTGCATTTTTAACCTTCTGGGTCTCTCCAAAGGTTCAAGAGGGATCTGCCAACCATCAAGAAATTGGGCTATCAACATTAACAATAAACAGAGTATTGCTAAATATGTGAAAGACTTCCACCTTTCAAAAAAACTCAATCCTGTTGCTAATAGATAGAGAAAGCTTACGTCTTTGTAGTTCGGTTTGGGCTTGTCTGCAACACGGCTAGACCTTCTCACTGCTGTTAAGTCCACTCGTTGTCGAGGCGTTCGGGGCTTCATCTGCTTCATCTGCGTGTATGTAAACTCAAAATCCTCGAAGATAGATAGTCATATTATAACATGTAACCCATCAAATAAAAATACGGTTGCATATACTCACGGGAGATGGCTTGGGGCTAGTATTCTTCAAAGCCTGAGAGAGGTTCTTGAGATTGAGTTCTTCCATCCTCTTCTTGTTCTCCTCCAATCTCCTTTTACGCATCTGTTCATACGTTGACTTTGCTGCCACCATTTTCTTTGTCACTCTGTTTCAGCCGATGGATTCAGGAAATGGAACAGGATTGATCGAAAACAGAAATGGATTGAAAGGGGTTCTCTTCTTTTCTTGTCCAAAAGAGAAAACTGAAAAAAGGGGTGACCTTTGGGTTTATGGTTTAGACCCAGGAAGGAAACACAGTCTTTAATGCTCTGTTTCTGGGGTTTTGGTTAGGGAGAGGAGCAGAGTACGGTGTCTAGATGTCTGAGCGTGCGCGGTTTGTTTCTTTAGGTCGAAGTTTTGAAATTCAAATGTAACCATGTTGATGTCAGCAGCAAAAGGCTTTTTGAGGACCCGACTGAGCCTTCTTTCATTTCTATAATCTATGCTGCCTGGTAGCTAGTATTTACTAAGATTAGTAGATTTGAAAATGAGTAAAAAGAGTTATATAAATTTAAAATTCTCAATATGTGTTCAGATATTTAATTTATTAATTAGTATATAATTTTTTTATTAAAAAAATAAAATATAAATTTTTTTAATATAAAAGATAAAAAAAAGTTTAAAATTCTCAATAAAAAAATTTTAAAAGATAAATTTTGAAGCATAAATAAGTAAATATATTTAATTTAAAAAATTATATGGATACTAATATAATGGTATAACACTTGAAAATTTTTCAAAAAATTTAAATAAATTTTTATTTTTATTATATTTAATTAAATTTTTATATTTTTATTTTAAATCAAATAAATTTTTATTATTATTAATTGATTAAAAAATTATGTTACGTGATCTTAATATGACATATTATTATGTACTAATAAAAGTAGATGAGACATGATATTATGACCACGTAGCTTTTTCACGTTTCATTGTTAATTAGTCTACTGAATCTAAAATAAAAATATAAAAACTTGATAAAACATATTAAAATAATAAAAATTTTATTTAAATTTTTTAAAATATAATTTAGAGATGTTTTAAACCATTATATCTAAAATGATTTAATAGCATTGCAATTAGAATTAAGAAATTAGGATATTGGATAACTTAAAAGTCTTTTGAAGCATAAATTTTGCAATGTCCACAGGTAAAGTGGCTTTGCCAGTATTTGAAGCAGTCATATGGAAATTTCTCACCTTGGATGGCAGGACTATGTTTTGCTTTTACTAACTTTTTACTAAATATTCAAGACTCTTTGTTTGGACTGAACAAAAACATATGTATCTTACATTTGGTTTGGTACCAAGCACTGTAATATTATTTTCCTTATAATTACATTGCTTGTAATCATATTACTTGCAATTATATTACTTGTAATCACATTATATTGTAAAATACTAACATCACTGTTTGAACATCTTATTGCTGCTAGGATATGGATATTTGTCTTTTAAGTCTAAACAAATTGGACAAAAATCCACTTCCAAAGGTAAGAAAAGGGAGAGCAAAACAGAATGATTACATCAAACACTAAAACACTTTTGATTTATAAACATACAACAATACACACTTTTGATTTATGGCAATTCAAAAGCTATCTCCCTAACAAAAATATAAGTACATGTACTGATGTCTTCTTCACAAAATACTGTTTGCTGCTGTGCCTGGGATCCACAAAGAGACTCACCAAAGCATGAAAGCCGGGATCTTTCAGAAAATGGATAACCATGAAACATGGATCTTTCTTCCAAAACAAAAGGCTCATGTTCAACACAAAGTGCCCACTATCACCAAGGGGCACTTGCCTTTTCTTGAAACAGAAGCTCAAGCCTGTCAGCATTCTCCTCCTCCAACGACCCTATCTCTATATCAAGCCTATTTAGTGCCTCAGTTACTTCCAGAAGCTTGGCTTCAAGTTTCCTCTTCTCCTCCTTTGCATGAACTTGTTCAAGTCTAGCCTCTTGGTATCTCTTTGCCTTCAAAGAAAGGTTCATCAGTTGATCCAATCGAGAACGTAACATGCCTACTTTCATACCCAACCCCTCAAACGATTTCAAAGTCTGGTCCCAAGTTAGAAAATTATGGTGGGAGGTTGTAAGCTTGGCAGCTCTTATGGCATCAGCAATATTGACGGTCTCAGCAATAACTCCAGCAACCAACTTATAGTTAAGTCCCCCGAGAAGATGATCATGAAGGAATGACTTTTGACTACAACAAAGCTCATAGTACTTCATTTGAACATATTTGGCAAGCTCAGAATTTATGATTAAACCATTTGCTAGAATTTTAAAGTTCTCAATGCTTTTCACTTCTTTAAACTCAACAATGGATTCAGACAACCTGATTCCATCCAAAACTTCAGACCCAAGATCCTCGCTATCATTTTCAGAGTGATATGGAGTAGGTCCCAAATTAGTGCTGGAGAGTGTCGGGTCATTGTTATGAATAGTTTTTGGATAAATGCCCAGTGGAAGGACCTCCAAAGATTTACCTGTTGTTTCTACACAAATCCTGTTTTCCTCCACCCCATAATTTCCCAAAGACTCATCTCTTATTCCTTCACAAAACTTGGGTTCCTTCACTGATCATTGAGAGACCTTAATTAAGGTATAATTCTCAAGAAAGTTACAATTGATAAAGAAGATAAAAATTGCTATTGGGGATAGAAATGACTTGCCAAGGTCCATTGGTTCGGTGGAAGACTCTAATTTCAGAAGGCCAAGGGCAACATTCACTTCATCTGAACCTTTGCTTCTAACAATGTACACCTAAATGAATGCAGGTAATCAAGCAGATGGTTAAAGATTTAAACATGTGGTGGTTTCATCCACTCTAAAACATGTGAAAATATAACTGGAAACAGAATATCAATACTCGGAGCACAAAGCCTGAGTTGGCCCCTTCTACTTCTCAAGAAAGATCAAGTCTAAAAATTCAACCAAACAATCAAGAATTATACCATGCAAAATTAGCAATATGTACTTCTCATGCAAATTTATGATCAGAAAAGTAAACAGATAGCTTTTTGGTACATTCAATTTGTCCTTCCATAAAATTTATTAAAAACAACAATCTGAAACAGGCAATCATAGGAGAATCAAATAAAATGCCAGATATGTAACGAATAGGATGGCTCAAACAATTACCTTCAATTTGGAGGTTTTGATTAAATGAAAGACACAGACATCTCCCTCCAGTAATTTGTGAGCAATGGAGAACCTTCTCCATCCACCACTGAGACCAGTCTTTTCCGCCAAATACTTTGCTTGAAACTCTATCCCCTCTTCATCTTCCAAAACAATCATTCTGTCCTCCTTGGGCAAATGCTTCAAGCAAAAGTCCTTGGGAAGACCCTGCCATTTGAAAAGTTGAACATCTATAGATCAATATTCTAATGCAGACGTAGTCCAAATTACAAAAGCATCGATAAAACTGAGGTATACCAGCCAAAATCCTCCAGTAACATGTGATGGGAGCATGTACTTAATCAGACTAGGGAATTCAGATGATAGATTAGCTTGAACCTCCACCGCTCGTTCCATTAAAGCAGACTTGACTTCATCATTTTCATACATGTCATCAACTCTCTTCCGTTTATGGCTGAGAGGAAATTATAGAGGCAACATCATCAGAATACAATGTAATTTCAGAATGTTTAAAAGAAGTATTTCGAAATAAATTAAACTACCGTTGGGCCTTCTCCTTTCCAAGAGAAACGAACTGTCAAAAGATTCACAAAATTTCTTCATCAGTTAACCATACACATTGCTGAGAGTCTGAGTCTAGGTCTAAAGACTGCCTTAAGGAAGCTTAAATGCAAAAGTAGCGTATTAGGAACAGCATGGAATAACATGATTGAAGCTAGATCATTCCTGTGGGAAGCTAGAGTTGGTTTTACAAAATAAAATATCAAGCACAAGGGTCCTTTTAACTTTCTACAGATTCACTAAGCCCTTTTCAGTTTCCTTTACAAAAACCCAGTCCTTTACACATTCCCTGTTTTCAAAAGCAGAAAACAGTCAAAGGGCGTGATTTTCAGATGGTGCTGCTGCATCCTGTGTCCATCTCAGTTAAGAAGTTGGTATTTTTTTTCTTTCAAAACTCAACAATGAGATCATCGTATTGCTTAGTAACTTCACAGTCTACAACATTAAGGGAAAGAAACTACAAAATGAACAGAATAAAAAAAAGGGTAAATGAGATATATGAGGCTCACTTGATTAGGAGTCCTTTTGTCTAGTCCTGAAAGCTTTTTCCTAAAGAACTTGATCTTGGGTGGCCTTCGTCGCTTAGCCTGAAATAAGCAAAAAAATTGTTACACACCCGGATACTCCTACAAAAACATGCATGGTACCATCGCATACATACGTATAAAAATACATGCATACATAAAACATTGTGACTGATGCTCATGTATGTATGTATGCATGAATGATGGTTGGATATAAGAGAAAGAGACCTTGACGGGGCTTATTCTCTGTTTCGGAGAAACAGCCATGGCCTGGTAAAGGGTGGGTGCTACAGTCACTCAAAAGCTATATTTGGGGTATTTGGAAATTTTGAATTTAACCAAAAATTTGAATTGAAAAATATTGTTTAATTAAAGTCTATCAACTTTTAAGAAGTAAATAAGAGGAAAAGAGATGAAAAGCCCGTTTGATTTGAAATCTGTTAATCAATTATCAGATTGGGTATTAAATTGTAATCAATTTTGTCTAAATTATTAAACAAAACATTATCTACTTTCGTGTTATGTCTAATTATGTTTTCTTTTATTATAACTAGTCAAGTGTAGAAACCGTTTTAAGGCTTCCTTTCATATATAAAATAGAAGTTTTTTGTCAAGTTTAATATAATTTTTAGTGGATTAAATGGTAAAAATTGTTGACAATATTAGTAATAAATTAATTATTTTTTTTTTGAAAGATGAGAAATTAATTATTTTTATTGAGAGGTTTTCCTTTATATATATATATATAGGAAAGGTACAGGAAACAGCGAAAAGTTCAAACTTAAGATTTCAATCCTCATACAAAAAATAATAATAAAAAATGTTAAATCATGCAAACCCAATTGCAAATGTTCACAAATAATTAAATACTTGTGCAATGAATGTATGTGAAACATTGTGCAGTTTTCCTGGTATACTGATAATCATCAGGATTGTAAGAGTTTTGCAAAGTTGTTGTTTGTAATGGAAGAATGAGAAGAAATCAATATGGAAGAGGAAATAATACCCTACAACTCATTACCTAGACTAGACTTAAAATCAAATGACATTGGACTGTAAAATGGTACCCCGATTGAAAAACTTGCCCATTTTTCAATACTAAGTCTCGTCATATGCAAATAGAACTTGAGATATTTCTACAACATTTTGCCTCTAAAAGTTACATGATCAGATATAGTCTTGATGACCCAAACATGCCATGGATGAGGGAATATAGATATATTACATTAAGTGGACATCATCTGTCTCGCAGGTAAAGATCACCATGCAGCATTAACCTCCTCCTGAAATATAAACTCATGCCTCTCAGCATTCGCTTTCAGGTTTTCTATCTCAGCATCAAGCCTATGCATTGCCTCTTTGAGTTTCACAAGCTTCATTTCAAGGGATTTTTTCTCTTCTTTCATGTGATCTTGCTCAAGACTAACTCTATGCCTCTCTGACTCCACAGCCTCCTGTAATTCCAAGGCAAGGGTCTTCAACCGGTTCAGTCGAGCTCGAAGAAAGCCAACATTCATGCCTAACAGCTCAAATCCTTTCAGAGTCTTGTCCCAGAGTGAATAATCTGCTTGAAAGGTGGAAAGTTTGCAGCCTTTAACAGCCTCTGCAATGTTAACAGTCTGAGTAATTATTTCAGCTGCCAATTTACTGCTAATACTCTTGAGAAGATGATCATGGAGAAATGAGTTCTGACTGCAGCAGAGTTCATAGTATTTAATTTTATGGTACTCTGAAAGCTCGGAGTCTATTCCTGAACCATTCACAGTGATGACGAAACTGTCAATGCTTTTGACCTCATTAAAATCAATAATGGATGCCAAAGACCTGATACCATCAAAAAGGCCAGCGCTAAGATCCTTGCTGTCATTATCAGATTGATCTACTAAACGCTCATTCTTGGTGTCTAATACCATCAGGCTGTTATTTTCAACATTGTCTTGTGCATGATTGAGTGGAAGAAGCTCCAAACACTTGGCCCTCTTAGAGGTTCTCTTTCTCCTCTTCATGCGAACTTTTATTGTTGTTTCAAGTTCAACATTTCAAGAAAAAAGGACAATTGGATCAACAACGTTGGGGAACCTTCCCGCTTATAAAAGGGAAAAAAAATTAAAATAAAAAAATGAAGAAGAAGAAAGAAGTTCAAAGAGAAGAACATACCTGACCTAATTGGTTTTGCATCAACATTCACATCTAGTGAGCCAAACCTGCCATCTACTTTGTTTGATTTGAATGCTCTGACAATGTAAACCTACAAGAATGGAATGGAAGGCACAAAGGAGTAAGTCCACTATCCTCAGAGGATCTACAGACCACTTGATGCACAAGAATTAAATAAATAAATAAAAAGTGTAAAAGGGGGGAGGAGAAGCGTTGCTTCCACAAAAACCCTGAAGGTGTTGTCTGCTCGATCAATATCCAAATTAATCAATCCAGCTCCATTGCAGAGTTTAGGACATGATGGAAAGGAAAAATTTCTCAAGAATTGCATTCTTTGACATACAAATACAGGAGAAAAAATTCAGACGGTACCTTAAACTTTGAAGAACTGACCAAATGGAAGACTAGAACATCCCCCTCAACTAATTTATGACCAGCTGAGAATGCTTTCCATCCAGCACTCAATGCTGTCCTTTCTGCAATATAGGTTGTTTTGTATTCTTCCCCACTTTCATCTTCCAAAATTACTGTTGCATCATGCTTGGGCATATGCAATTTGCAGAATGGCATAGGAAGATGCTGTCACCACTCACCATAAGAGTTAGAAGTTAGAACATTTAAAGCTTTCTGGAATGATGGATATCACCTCATGTTTGACTTGCTAACATATTTTGGGCTTACCAGCCAAAATCCATGTCTAACATTTGAGCGAACCATTGTCTTCATACAGCTAGGGAATCCCGCAGCAAGATTTGCTTGAAGCTCCTCCACTCGCTCCATAACAGAAGGCTTGACATGATCACAAATTATCAGAGATCTCCTCTATTTATAGCTTCATTTCATGAAGTAGTAAACACAAGGCAACTCCTACTTTGACTTCTTGTTAATTAGAAAACCCAACGACTTAAGATGATATCACTAACCTACCTGCTCCAGATTGCACAAAAAAATTTGCCTGTTACTTTAGCATTTGAACTTATGGAGCAGAACACCAACCAAAATGCTCAAGAAACTGGGAAGGAGGTCATTTAAATTAGCAGCGGAACCCAGCTGACCGGTCAAAGACAAATCAGCTCAACTTTAAATTTGTCACTTATAGGTTTATGGCAATTAAACATTACTGGACAAATGTTGTCAAGTATCCGTATAAAATGTGGAAACTATCCCAGTGTCAGAAAAGAAACAGAAGAACCTGACAAGGCTTGCCTAGATAAACAAAACCTCCATGATTGGAAAGAACATTATGTCAATCTTTTACTGTTTTTCTAATCATAATAGACTTACGGAGCTTTGTTTAATGCATTCCATTAATTAGTCCATGGATATTTTATCCCTCTCTTTTCAGGGGAAGGGGGAACAGTGATGCATTGGGGAGAAAGGTGCACTGGAGGAGTAGTTGGCTACAGGCTACGGCTGCTGGTACAGGAACAATGTTCAATCCTGAGGTTCCAGGTGAGACTCACTTTTGAGTTTGGAGAACTCTGAATAATTCCTTGACACAAAAATACTGCGACGCAATTAGATTTCGATCAGAATTGAAAAGGCGAAAGCTACTGCAAGTGGAAAATATATCAAGCAGCAAGTCCGGGAATGGCTAATTGCCCACTACCAGAATACCGCTCAAGTTGGCATTGATATGGAAGGACATCAGCTATCTTAGCTGCTAAACTATTTTGACGTTCTAGGTAAGATCTTCGATCCCATCTTGTTTCTACGACAATAACCTCGGGAATGGAAAAGATCCAGCTACTGCTTAAATCGAAAGCGAACTCGAGGTAGAGTTGCCCTTGACATCGGACAGATGACCGAGAACCATCTGCATGTACGGGTTTTTGGGCACATTTTTGTATATCTTGCTATCTATTTAAAAAAATTCCGAATCACCAAACCCTGTAAATCCCAGAGCAAAAGCAAGAAGCTGAAACAAGAACAGAACAAAAAGTGAAGCAAAACCCAGGAATAATTCTGTGATAACCTAAACAGGAAAAGCAACATTTGACACTAATCTCACATCAGGAGGTGAAAAAGCATGGCAGAAAGATCTTCTTACTTGTGGGTTAACATTATCAGGATCCAAAGACGTTTCAGAAATCTGGGGCTCCTCTATCTTGGTTCCCATTGGCTTCACTTGTCAGAATCTTGCTACGAACAAACAGATTCACAGTAATCAGTAACCTGAATCAGACATACAAAGGAAGAGAGAAATGGGGAAGCCTGCTAACAGGTGAAATTTGCAAACCTGGCACTGTTTTGAAGTTTTGGAGTGTGCTCAGGTTTTTGCTCTTCCAGGAGTCAGGACTTTCCGTTTATTTTTTCTCGGTCTTCATTATGTCGTGACATAAGGAAGCGAATTAGTGGCCCTGCCGATCCAATGGGTCAGGCTACAAGTTGAGACTCGATACCCCTTTCAAGATATTAATTCAGGGCGGATGTTCAGTTTTAAGACATGTTTCGGTCGGATGTTCAGGAATGTTATGGATTTACCATATCGTTTAGGTGCTATTAGTGGATTAGACGATTATTAGTTTCGGAAATTTGTTTTTCAGCTGACAAAGAGAAAAACGGTTAAGGAAAACCATCCCGATTTACACTCTGTAAAGTCTTTCAAATGAACCAAGTGCACCACACCTGCTTTACTTGGAGGAGTCCTATAGAATACTTTGATGTCTAGCATTATAAAATTTTGACGTGCATTTGAAATTTTAAAAACATTATGGGGGTTGAATTTGAAAATCATTTGAATGCAATTTTGCACATATATATATATATATATATTTTAAATAAAACTTAAGATAGCATGAATTTGTTGTTAAAAAAACAAAATCTTGTTTTATGGTCCAGCACACAAATTCGAATTCAAGATTTCTCTTTCAAAAGTAAATTTCATTAATTGTTAGTTTTTGACATTTTCATAATTTTTTATTTTTATTTATGATTTACAAATTCAAACTTTTTATTCATAATTTTTTAAATTGATTCCAAATCCATTCATTTGTTAATACTTCATCAAATTTCGAAAGTGACAATTTATCATATGACATTTTGATGAACATTTACATGATAAAATTTATCTAAAAATTAAAAGTGTATTAATCGATGAACGAGTTTAAAACAAAGTTAAAAAATTATGATTGAAAAATAAAAAAAAGTTTAAATTATAAATAAAAAATAAAATATTATTAAAAAGTTACAAACATACGATGAATTTACTTTTTATTCTAAAAGCGAAGCATGGCAAGGACTATCATTAAAATAATTTTTTGGTTAACAATTGAATTTTGTATTTAGTTATGTTTTAATTATCTTGGTACCTTCTTGCATTTTTAATAAAAACTTTTTTTTATTTAAAAGAAAAAATTCAAATCTTACCCTTTGAACAAAAAAATCATATACTAATTACTTAACCAAATATAAAATTTGTTAACCATGTGTACTTGATTTTTTTGTAATTTTAAAATTGTCAAATTATATAATATATGAATAAAGTTTGAATTTTCAACTTCTGGCCCATTGCAGAGATACCCATCCCCTAAAAATTTATTCAACATTATCAAAGAGAGTATTTCAAGAATCTTCCACACTGCCCACAAAATCAATTACAAAGTGCATTCGGAACATCAGAGCACTAGAGTATGTACTATGGTTATGAATCATGAACTATCTTCAAGTATTATCAATTCCCCCACCACTTTGAAGTTTGCATTGATCACCTAATCCCAATTAGTACAATATTGGTTCAAAAAATTCAAGTTCGGTCATATCCAAAACCTACCTAACTCCCCATGCTGAAAAAAAAAAAAAGAAAGAGAAAAGTATCAGTTAATTTTTCCTATATGAAATGAAATGATGAATAGTTGAGGTGTAGTTAAGAAGCCTATGCTAAACATTAATACTATGCGGTATATACCAACAGGGTAAAATGTTTCTCATTACCATGGAGCATTAACAGCTGCCTCAAAACATTAGCTTATGCCTCCTAGCATTCACTTTCAATGCCTCTATATCAGCATCCAGCCTGCCCATTTCCCCCCTTTTTTCCAGAAGCTGCAATTCAAGAGTCCTTGCGTCCTGTTCTACATAAGCTCTCTCAGGTTCGGCTTCCTTGAACCTCCTTGATTTCACTTGTGTTTTTGATTCAAAAGCACGGTCCAGAAGCCAGCTCGCCCGGTTGCGTCAAACACCAACATTCATACCCAAAAGCTCAAAGCCACACAAAGGGTTGTCCCAAGCCACAAAATCAGCTTGTGGTGGGGAAATCTTGGAAGCTCCAATGGCATCTGCAATGTTAACAGTCTCAGTAATTATTTCAGCTGCCAGTGTACTGTTTATATTCTAGTGAAGATTGTCATGCAGATATGATTTCTGGCAACAGCAGAGCTCATAAATATTTTGTCTTAATCCTTTTAGAAAGCTTAGAATCTGGGGCCAAGCTATTCACAAGAATAGCGAATTTCTCAGTACCTATTGTTTGAATTCAGCATTTGCTTCTGGTGATGACCTAATGCCTTCCACTTCACAGGAGCCAATATCAAAACTGCCATTGTCCGATTGATTTTCTTCAGCACTAGGATAAGACAAGCTATTCCTGTGTACTTCGTATTGATTAATATCTTGGGCAAAAGGCTCTGCATTATTCCTTCCTGCATAATCTTTTTCAGTTTCCAGTTAATGATAATAGTTAAATAATCAAACTGAATCTACTTTGTGGGGCTACACATGAATGCTAACGAAGAACAGCTGATAAGTAAATGACTTACTTATACATGTCTTCTTTGCACTAGTCTCTAATCTGAGTAGGCCAAGAGCTGCGTCCGCTTCACCTAAGCCATTCACTCTCAAAATATACACCTGCAAATTTGACAAAGGAAGAGTTAATGGAAAAGTTGAACTAGCCAACAACTTTAATCACATCCACAAATCGCACATTACAAGTATGGGGATTAGGCTCTGCTCCAGCCAATATGTATAGTTGGCATCCTCATACACTGTGGGTCTTTATTAGGCAAAACAAATGTTCCGATTTGAAAAATTATTCTGCCGTTAGTCCATTAATAAGAGTTAAGCTTTCCTCTTCTAAACTAACATAAAAAAGAAACAAAAAAGCATGGGCTAAAACTGCCACACCAGTGTCTTTCTCCGTGCACTTTTATTCAATATACAGGCAGCTGAATTGTACGATGACTTGGTTTTATCAACCATTTGAATGCCTTTGATCCATTAATTGTTAATGCAATAATGGAGAAAAGTATGAGAGGCAATACCTTAAATTTGGAAGGCCTGATCAAATGGAAAACTAAAGCATCCCCAACAAGTAAACCATGTTCTTGGGAAAACTTCCTCCACCCACCACTCAGCGCCCTCCTCTGAACAAGAAAATTTGTTTTGTATTCTTTTCCACCTTCATCAACCAAGACTACTGTCGTATTATGACTTGGCAAATGAAGTTGGCAGAATTCCTTGGGTAATGGCTGGCAGCGAAGAAATAGAAAAGAAAATCATTCCACAAAATTTCATCCTGGACTCGATAAGCTTGGTAAATGAACTTTATTAGGCTTGGGGAATAAATTTAAAATAAACTTACCATCCAAAAGCAACCACAAACCATTGATGGGATCATAATCTTAAAAAAACTAGGGAATTCAGCTGGTAAATTTGCTTGAACCTCTTCTGCTCTCTTGTTTACAGAGGAGTTCGCCCAAGCCTCTTCCGCTTTCCCTTTGACAGCTGGCAAAACCTTGATAACATGATCGTTGGAACGCTTGTCCCTTGGCCTCTTCCTTTTGCATCCACAAAGACGAACCAGATCAACGGTACTTAAAGACGAAGCAAATTTGTGTACAATACTGAGAATAGATAAAAAAAAGTTACCGATTAATTTACCAACCTTGCAGCCTTCTGAGGATAATCATGAATTTCCTGCTCAAGAAACCAATTACCCATTATTCCTTGGTTTGAATTAAAATCAATTTAGGTTTTGGGATACTCCAAAAATACGATAGAATGAACCAGCCAGATTCATGCACGAATTCAGCTTGCCACACAAGGGAGAAACCAATTCCAATCTGGCTTCTGGTTTTGGGTATCAATTTCCAAATGCATTCAAGCATTTTAATGGCTAAAATTTTTTGCACTTTATATATGGCTCCTAAAGCAAACACTAGACAAGCAAAACTATAAGATGAAGAACGTCAGACGAGCTTTAGTCCATATAACATTCTGGTGGTTCTCCGATATTTAGAGTAGTTTTTCAGGTATGATCACGTAGTTGAAAGGAAAATGGAAAAGGAAACATGAAAACCTCGGCTACATGAAAAGAAAACCACAGCAGATAAGCAGCTGGAGATCACCACCAATAACAATAAACAAAAAAAAAGAAGAACATTACAAAATGGGGAGCAAAATAGTCTCTGATGGTTGGATCAAACAGGCCTTTCTCTATTAGCTACGTACAAAACCATACATACTTACATGCACATGGCAGAGTATGTTATGTAGCATAACACGTTTTATGTACGTGGAGAGAGGGAGAGGATACCATGGACATGGAAGAAGAAGAAGAAAGAAGAGATTGGTGTTGGCGTTGTTTAAGGAGCTGAAAAAGTTGAGAAATGGGCAGATGTTCTTCTTCTTCTTCGCCAGCCGAAGACTCTTGCTGCATTTGCGTGGGCTCCTCCTCCTCCTCCTCCTCCTCTTTCACTCTCATTTTCATGTCCATCGTCATTCATCAATGCCACAATGCCTCTATTAATTTCTCCCCTGCTTTCCCATTTTTTTTCTTTTTTGTTTTTTTCCTTTATTCCAACCTCGATCCAAGTGGGTTAGCAAAATGATAATGAAGACCCAAATTTCTGTTTATGACCACTCACTGTCACTCTTTCATCTTCGTGCATAATGCATACATGTATTTATCAAGTATATTACAAAGGATTAAGGATGGATATAAAGGCTCAAATTTACCAAGACACTACAGAGGCTACGGTGTGGCCTTGCTTCCGTTTGGGACTTTGGATGGGAAATTGTGTGAGAGGTAT